GTCAATAGACATATAGAGATAAACAGCATCTACACACTATTCAAAAGAGACAATAGAAGACAAAGGACAGAACATCTCCTCACCAGCAATCATCACCCGATAAACAGAGGTTACCACCAGGCACACAATCAAGCAGTGAACAATACCCTAATCAAGGAACTACTAGAGGAGCAAAACAAAACCCCCACCCCCACCAGCACTGGCAGGGCATGCCACAGTATATAAACACAGAGCAAACCCCATCCCATTTTGGAGCAAACTGAAGGTGTTACCTAGCCAGGTAATGAAATGTTTGCAAGAAAAGAACCAAGCTCAGAGAACCCGAAGGACCCCACAGTTCAACCCTGAGCCACACATATTCACCTCTATTGGTACAGGTATACGTTTATTACAAATAAAGACTCTTCTTGGTTTTGATCCACATCAGTTTCATACGTATTTATTTACAAATTTGACATTGCCAGTTTATGCCGCAATTGATGGAATTTCTGCACAATGCATTGTAGATATGTAGAACAAGCCTTTTATATGCCTGAACTATATTTTGCAGGTCAGGAGGAGTCAAAGGAAAAGTGTGTTCTAATCTGCAAATCAGCTACAGCAGGTCAAATCACGTTACAATACTTCCAGACAATGCTTCTGAACAAAATTACAAACACGAATCATCTTTCTTTCATTCCAAGAAAGTTAGGATCTAGATTGCGAATACGGCTGAATTACTGTACATGGAGAAAATGAGATAATTCCAAATCTGTTCTTTTTTTTAAACACGCACAAAAAAGCTCCAGTACTTTAAGATCCTGGAAGAAAACCATGTTGATTAAGATGTTGCTATACCTTTCATGAAAAACATTATCTTAGCTGTGTTAGAAGGAAGCCACATGGAAGTTAAAAAGTTTTGCTCCTTAATAAGTAGATTTAGGATTGTGGTAGTATAGGGTAACCCATAGTCTGTTTGCTCAAGAAAGTCTCATTTTTATTCAGAAAGAAGGATCAACTCTCCCTTAAGTCTGTTTAGGACTGCAGCTTTGATTCCAGAAGGCTGGAAATGGGCATGTGTGAATATTCGGAAAATGCCAGCCTGTAGCAAAAGGCGCTGAGAAGTTTTTGGACTGAAGTTGCACGTAGGTTTTAGTAACTAAATAAATGCCAATGGATGCATAGGTTTTGTTCTTTTCCTATGCTGTAACTGCAGGGCTCAGTGCTAGTAACTGAATTTACTTTCGGTTTCTTGGCTCACTAACAATAGACAAAGTGTTCTCTTTTGTTCAGGATCACGACAGCAGCCCACTTACTGTTGGGGCTACAATGGCCCATGAGATGGGCCATAATTTTGGCATGAATCATGACAAAAGCTCCTGTACCTGTAGGTCTGCCCCATGCATTATGAGTGACATGATCAGGTAAGGGTTCTGGAGGTTTCAGCAAACCCGTTAATATCTTCCAAATGAAGTTATTTTTAAATGGTTGCAATTCATTGTCAAATGAAGTATGCTGAGAGCTTATGAAAATGAAATGATCAGGGAGTTACAGAAGAGTGGTGTTTGGACAAAGGAGTGCCACTGTACTGTGTCTAATTAAAATGTCTCTTTTTTGAAATGTAGAATTGCTCTCAACAACTGAATAGCCATCATTCAGTGTCTTCCTCTAAAGCACATTTTAAAGAAATAGCACAGGAGGTGCAGTAGAAGAAACCTAATATTAATAACTGTGATGGATGAAACAGGAAGCCAAGTTAGACATTTAAGGCCTTCCTAAAGCAGGATGGGAGAAAGTAATTCTGAACCATCCAACTGCAGGAGGAGAAAGATGAAGTACATCTTTTAGGTGTGCTTGCTTTCAGCTGAACATTGCAAATGTTTTACAGAGGTTCCCCCCTCCCACCCTTTTTCAAGGTGGGAGACATGTCATGTCTCTCCCCTATATTGCAGTCTGCCGAAATCAACAGGTAGCAACGTATTTTTTTGCTGTTCCATGTCTAGTTTTGCTTTACTTAAGGGAAGGGAAGGGAAGGGAAGGGAAGGGAAGTCTTCTCAGGAATTGTCCTACTGCAAAACTCCCCGTGATCTTTTGTGTAAGACTTTTGCATAGCTTTAGCAAATGTGCCACCTGTTGAGAAATTTCTGATTTCTTCTGCAAAAGCCCTAGGACTTTGTTGCCTCATCTTTTATGCAGCGGCCACAAGGTCAGGAAGCTTGTTCTGGAGAATGCTACGCAGCCTTTCCTGTCCTTACTGAAGGATTTCTGTGCGTCATGCTCACTTTTTACACTTCTTGGCATTTTGCACAGAAGGCCTTGCTTAGACAACATCTTTGCTCAATAAACACCCCCAATGGGTCTGGTGCACCTTTGAGCTTGAAAGAAGCCCATGTTGTCCACTCAGTGGCCACCAGCAGGTGGTCTTTGGGTTCTTGCTTTCACCCACTAACCTGAGTGTCAGCGATGACTCCTAATGGTTTGCATTAGGAAGGTGCTCGGGTGGGCTTCTGTTACAGCGCTTGCTCCTCTTTAAGTAGCACTCTCAAAATTCAGTGGCAAGCTGCTGATGTTATGACCATTTCAGCAAAAGAAGTCAAATAAGTATATTAAGTCTCCATTTGCCTTAAAAAATCCATTTGTTTTAAAAAGGACCACCCCCAAAAAGAAGAAAAGAAAAAGAGGGCCAAAATTCCACTGTTCTCCCTTTAATGATATTATCGCCACACCTTCTTTGCCCTGTCAGCAATGTCACTGTGTCATTTCCAGACTCCCTCTTCCTTTTTTTAAATATGATTTTTATTAAAGCTTTTTAAAGAGAAGATAAAAACTAATATAAAGTAAGGAAGAAAAGAGAAAGCAAAGAGAAAGCAAAAAGTGCAAGAAAAGAAAAAAAGGTGAAGAAAAATAGAAAAGAAAAGATACGAAGTGCCTTCTGACATTCTTCACAGCAGTTATAAGTACAATTATATTTTAAACTCTCAAGTTACATCATATTACTCTTCTTTCTATAATCATACGTTCATTTTTTTTTTCATTTTGAAAAAGTCCATAAGAGGTTTCCAGTTGCCAATAAATGTAGATAGTGTCTTTTCTCTAATCAAAGAAATTAATATATTCTCCCAATTGTTCTGGGATTGTTCTAAATCTTAAGCAAAGTTCTTTTTCTCTCTGTTTCAGTATTGCCAAGTTATCCAAATCTTTCTCCATCTTTCTATTTATAACTTCTGTCTTATTTTCCCAAACTTCCACTTTGTTAGTAATTTGTTTTAAGTCTGCAGCCAGTTGCCCTACAGATTCTACAATCTTCTTACCTTCTTTCTGGTCTTTTTTATCCCTGCAAATTTAACCATTGGTGTCCTCTTTTACCAAATTCTTCAAGCATTTTCAGCAAAAAGTCTGATGAAATGCTGTTATCTGTAAGTTGTTCTAATGAACCTCTCTGTTCTTGCCCCAATTTGTCAGCTTTCCTTGTCATTGCCATGGTGAGAAAGTATGTCACTTTCTACGATGAAAATAAAAGGCAGGGTTTTCCTTTGTTTTTCTGATTTGCTTTCCTCTACCTTTAACATTTTAGTCCCAATTAGCTCTCCATAGTTGCAGTCTCACAGTTTAGCCCATATTACCCTTATCTTGATTTGTAAAATCCACCAATTATCTTCTGTCTTTAATAATAAACAATCAGCATTCCCATGAAGGTCCATTCTGTTAGTCTAATTAGTTTTGCTATTTTTTTTTAATGATTAAAGTGTACACACACACACTAATACAAAACTAAAAGACCTACAAATGAAAAAAGAAAGAAAGAAAGGGAAGAAAGAAAGAGAGAAAGAAACATAAAGGATGACTTCGCCCTCCCTCCAAACAAGTATATGCATTAACAGTAACTTAACACCTCTAATATTATTGAAGAAAGCCCTCTTCATGCCCTTTCTCATCCCTAAACAATAACCAAATTATAAAAAATATTCAACAATCAGTCTAATCTGCAAAAGCATTAAGAGTACCAATTAAAAACATATATTTTAAGCTTAAATAAATAGGTCTATTTTGCAATTTAACTTCTAAATTTTTTCTAAAAAGTAAAACCTAAAAGATCTCTCCCCATAAGCATACAAAAGACCAATAATATATATATTTTAAACTAAACCAAATAAATCGTTTTTACAGGCATAAACATCGTCTTACAGTCCTGGTCAGAAAAAGAAAATTCAATATTAACTATCAAAACATAGACAATTTAATTCTGATCTGATAAGTCCACTTTGAATTCCTTTCTCTTCTTTTTGACAGACTCAGTCTTCAGTCTCTTCTCCAAATAAAACCCCAGATAGTAATCTCTTATTCTTTTCCTGTCTATTTTCAGAAAAGGTTTCAGAGATTTGGTGTTTTCCTTCTGTGGGTTCAAAATTGGGTAACTCTCAAAGCCTCAGAGTAACTCTTCTGATCCATTACAGCTTATGTCTCCATACCATTCTCATAATCAAGCAACTTTGAGCCCATCTTCAGATCCACAGGATCTTTTTCCATATCTTCCATCTCTCTCTTATAATCTGGAATTTCTTTAAAGTCCATTTTAAAGTCTTTATTCAAGTCATCCTCAACTTCTATTTTATCCAATGAAATCTTGTCGTCTTCTAGAACCTCTCTTAGTCCCAATTTTAGAAATAGTTTCTGGACACACTGATTCCAAACAGCTAACAATTCTTCTTTGAAAGAAGGATACTCCTCCATTGTGTTAAAAGATATCTTTTTCTTTAATTGCACTCTGGTTCTCTAACTAACTTACAAAGCTCAGTCTTATCTGGTGTTTATTTTCAGAAGCAAAACTTTCCCAAGACAGAAATCCTTGCAGCTAAATCCAAAATCACTTGCTGTATTTTCTTAGGCATTTAAAACAATCCTTTAAAAAGGTGTTTCAAAACCATCTAGCCTCTTGACGGTCCCCAGTGAGCATTCTTTTGCTGTTTCCAAATGTTAAAACATTTCTTTTTGAGCTTTAAACTTACTTTAATCTTTTTCCCAAGATAGAAGGAAATTCTCTCGGTGTACAGCAACTTGCCCTTCAGGAGGTTTTTAATTGTCAGGTAAATCAAACGAATAGGCCGTTTGCAATGTTAATTAAAAGAGGAAGTGAAAGCAAGTCTAGCGTCCATTTGAATGCTCAGCACTGCGGCGTGGGCTCAGTCTGTTTCTCTCAACTCCCACCCACTGGAGATGGCTAGTTTGCAATCTCTCCACAGTAAGCCTCTGTAAGGAGTGCCTGTGGGTGATCCTGTAATCTCCTTTATCTGGATGTGATTCTGAAGAGCTCAACCAATTGCCAGCCCTCTAATTATCACAGGTGCTGGCTCCACAAGCAGGGAGCCATATTCAATCTGCCTTTTCCTCCTGGAAGTCTAATTTTACTATTTTCAAAGGCACTTTTGTCAGAACAAGAAAATATTCTGGGTTTTTTTTTAAATTATTGTTTCCTTTATCGGTTTAAAACTTCCTTGGATCAGAATTTGTTAAGCTTTTTGCTTTTAAATTAAAACCCTTTAAGATAGGTTTTTTCCCCCCCCTCCTCTTAATTTCAAAAAGCCGGTACTCACCAAGAGTCTTTGATCTTCACTGCCATTCAGAATGTCTCTCTTAGGTTGTAAAGTGATTAAGTTGTACAGTGATTAAGAAATTGAGGCTTTTGCTGGTCAAAATGCCCATTAAATGCGGCATTGTAGTTAAAAGCGCATTGTAAATCCCTCAGCTCCCAAGCCGTTCAACTCATGATCCACCATAAGAAACTCAATTCCTGTAGTCAACTCACAAGGAGCAGCTGTTCCAGAGTGCAAATGCATGATCACAAAGATTTTTCCATATCTCTGGAAGATTTTATCAGCCCGAAACTATGCCCCCCTCATGGAGCTGCTCACAGGAATATCTAACTCACCATCAGTCCTCACCTGGAAGCCTCCAGATTCCCCTTCCACATGGAGGCTGAGTGAAAATGAAAGATAGCCCACGTGACACAAGAAGTAGCTTAACCAACTATTATCCCATGGAGCTCTCAGTGCAAATTCATTTTGTTCAAAAAGAAAAGAAAGCTAGTGGAATTAAAACTGAGGGAGAAGAATCTGGGGGGAAGATCAAGGAGTACAAATAGATTTCTTAGCTACTTGGTTAGCCTTAGAGAAAAATCACAGGATTTGTTCTTTAGCCATCCCTGTTCCATCTTATATGTTTTTGCAATGAATTCTGTCCCTTGTCCAAAGATGGATGATGTCATGGTCTGTGTATCGTTTCATCTTTACAGCTATAAAACTCCCCAGCATTTCAGCTCTTGTAGTCTCCAGGATTATGAGAAGTATATCATGGACCGAACCCCACTATGCATTATCAACAGGCCCTTGAGCAAAGAAATTGTTGCAACCCCAGTCTGTGGGAACGACTTTGTGGAGGAGGGAGAAGAATGCGACTGTGGCTCTCCAAAGGTATGTTTTATGAACAGGGGTGGTTCCAAGAAATTTTTCAAAAATGGGAATGCTTGCAGAAACATCTGGCCTTTTAAGTGACATGACCACCTAACAGGTTGGTTTGTGAATGGCATCAGTTTGTGTCCTTTATGTACATGCATGTATGCAATGGTTTCCTGGGTTTGAAGAGAGGAATGGAGAACTGATATCTCACTACTGTTTTAGGAAGGCAAAGCATTTTTAGGAATGGGTGATTCACCACTCCAAGAAACATCCTTCCCCACTGAAAACCCCTACTTTGTTGACATGACCATATCATCTATCCCACTATTGTCTTGAGTGCTCCCTCCCAG